TCCCCATGTTGCGACACAAATTTGCAAAAAAATATCTTTTTACGTTAACACTTCCTCAAAGCATGTCGACAGTAACATTCAACTGGTTTCGTTCTTTCAAGCATCATGTTCTGCAGACACAAGCGTTACCTCCAGGCTCTCTGTGTCCTCCAAAAGGTTCGACAACACCATGACGACCATCACGTGAAGGTCAGACAGGGTGGGCTGGGCCAGGACATCCAGAAGTTTGGTGATGGCCTCCAGTTCTCGCAGCACGCGACGGTTCTCAGCTGAAAGTTGACGTGTTTATGAGGTGAGATAAATCTTTATAGTTTAGTCACTGACATGATAGTTAAGGTGTTTCATTACACACACACACACACACACACACACACACACACACACACACACACACACACACACATACACATGTATATATATATATATACCCACACAAGCATGCCTGCCCACATCCACAAACACATACTCTCTCACACATCTTTTGTTAGAATCCATACATATACACACATAATATATGATTGCACTCATAGACCAACAGCCATATTCATACGATATAAATGAACAACTATAGTTAACAATGATGTTTTAGTTTTAGTAAAAGTTTTACGGCACTTGCAACACAATAAGGTCATATAAGTGCCGAAAATTAGAGGTGTTACAAGAGAGTAACAAACACAAAATAGAAGGAAGGGAGATAAGGACGATAGACGTTTGATAGGAAAAATGGGCAAACCACATCAGAGCACCCGCCAACCACCCACTAACAATGATAATGTTTGAGCTAGATACATAACCAGTATGTTGATGGTAATTTCAATTTAGTCAACCAATATGCAAAGATAATATAGAAGGAAATTTGTAGACTGTTTTAGAGCTTCATGCAGAGAAATACATGACAAACCATGGCCACCAAGGCCAGATCTGGCACTTGAAGAAAAAGAAGAATGTAAAAAAATCCTCAAACATAACCCAGAAACAGGGTAATTCCAAGACTTATGGAGAATCTGGGCCCAAAGAAAATACAAAGCTAACAAAATAACTGCTTTTATTATAATAAGACTCTGCCAAACACCATTTTGAAAAGTGACAAACTACGGAGCCTTACACTGAGCAGTCGATATAAGACAAAGAGTGGACAATGAAAAGACAGAGAGAACAAAAAAAAAAAGAAAGAACTGACCAATAAAAGGACAGGAACAGAACAAAGGAAAGACAGAGTAAACAAACACAGGATAAACTGATCATAAAAGGATAGAGACAGCACAAAGAAAAGACAGACAGCAAAAGGAGACAGAGTGAACAAAAAATGACAAACAGAACATAAGAAGGACAGAGTGAATAAAAAATGGCAGACAGACAGACAGAACAAAAGAAGGACAGAGTGAACAAAGAAAAAGACATCCAGGTCCTGTCTCCTCACCGTCCTGTGTGAGTCGGTCCAGGGTGAGCAGGGCCAGCCTCTGAACGATGGCGTATTCCGACTTCATCAGGTCCAGGATTGGCTGCAGGCCCTCAAACTCCCGCACCATGCCCCGCGCTTGGTAGTCCTAAGGGGTGGAGAAAGGGAATAACAACTCATGAAAAAATGAAGGGAAAATAAATGGGATGAACAACATGAAAAATAAAGGGAAAAATAGAGGGGAAAATAAAAAGGAAAATAGAGGGAAAAAACAAGATAAATACTGATCTTCAGTTAAGTGTAAAAAAGGGGAAAAGAAAGAAATTGAAGCTGTAGAAAAACATTCTTAGATATTTGTTTTCAAATAAGTGAAAAAAGAAATAAGTTGATGTAGTAGTAATAGGGAGAATTTTTTAAAGCAGCAACATACCCAGACAAGTTAGCAAGAAAGAAAAGGCCAATGGCAGATATTCAGAGCAGTGCTTGTCAACCTCTTTATAACCAGTGCCCACTTTTGCCATCTTTCAGGGGCTAAAATTTTGGTACCACCCACCTACTTATATGTCCAAGTGGGAAACCCTTTCCGGTAAAGCCATAGGTGAGGTCTTTCATCTAAAACTAAGTTGACCGACTACACACACCTTATGTCTCCACTATCTGTTGGGCCAACATGATGTCATGCCTGTAAGATAAGTCGAACTTGTTCAAACTCTTTATCTGCTAGGGGGGTAAACTTACTATACCTGGACCCTCTTTTGGTTAAAAAAATCTAAAAGTGACTTATACATCACTACATTTGTCATTTAATCTAAGTAAGTGAACCTATATTGATAGTTCTTCATATAAAAAACGAACTCCCGCTCAAAGAGGCTTGTTGTTTGTCAAGTGCTGAAAATATAATTTGAAGTTGAACTTGTTGAGGTAAGGAGTTAAGAAGGGAGACCCAAAAATTAGACCATTAACGTTACAACTTTTTTTTTTACAACAGTGTACAAAAAAGTTTGGTTTTTTTAGTTCAGTAAGAGTTTTACAGCACTCGCAACTATATAAGGTCACTTGAGTGTGCAAAGTTTGTTTACCATGACCAACTGTGCAATAGCCTCAATGGAGTTTTTCTGTACGTCTGGGTCGGAGGATCCCAGCAGACGGATAAGGGGCTCCACACCGCTGGCCTCGTGGATGGCCACTTTGCTGGTGAACTCCGTGGCCATGAGGGACAGAGCAAGGGCGGCAAACTCATGGATCACCGAATCCTCTGTCATGTCAAGACACGGGGGGGTGGGGTTGAGAGTGTGGGGGGGGGGGGGTCGAGGAGGGGAAGGAGCGGGGGAAAAGAGGAGGGGGGGGGGGGAATACAGAGAGCATTTTTCTTTTATTTTGATTCAGCTTTTAGTCTTCGTAAAAGTGAACACATAAAACAATTTTTAAAATATCAATCAAACTTTTGAGACAAACGCTACTGCCTGCCCAACTCTCTGTCACAAGTGTATCAAGCACTTGCAACATAATTAGGTCATGTAATGCTGAAGATTTGAGGTGCTACTACAGAGTAACGTACAAATAAACTGTTACTAAAATGTAACACACAAAGAAAAGAAGGAGGAGAGATGAGGTCAATAGACGTGTGATTGGAAAGAAGGATTAAACCTCATCAGAGTGCCCACAAAACACCCAGATTACAAGGTTCAACCTTTCAGGGTTCAAACAAAGACAAAAGACAAAGAGAGAGATAAACAGTGAAGTGGTGTGAGACAGACAGGCAGTCAGACAGTAAACAAAGACAAACAGACAAACATAGACAGTAAACAGAGTGAGACAGAAAAACAGAGACTAAGAAAGATGGATGGGACAGCATTTCAAATTTCAGTTGAGACTTACATCATCAAATATTTCATAACTTTTTCTCGTCGCTCCCAACAGTCAATTTCAAGTGCAGCTATGCTGCTCTGCCAAGATAGCAGAAAGAAATAGACCAACTTTTTGTTTTTTCTTTTAAAACCATTGCCAATTTTAGTTTGCAGATCCTCAATAAAAATAAGGAGTCAGCATGTGCTATAAAGGATATAAAACTCCTGCCAGATAACTTTTGTGTCTATCCTCGTCGTTTAAATCAGAAGGAGGTTTTCTTGCATGTTGAAATATTTTCAAAAACCTTTTAAATGGTACTAGAGCATAACACCATCGATATGCTAATACTGAAAGTCGTTTTCGTCATGAAAAAAGGGTATACAACAACAGCTGGCCTCACCTTCTGGACTGAGAAGTGCAACAATGGAAGAAATGGCTTCGGGTCTCTTCCTCAGGGCTTTGCGTACGTCCGCTGTAAAGAAAGTAAATGTTCAGCTTTAACGCCCCTTCAACTCTGTGAGATTTTTCTAAGATGCAGCACTTTGAAATTTAACATTCATTCCTGATAAGACAATAGAAAATGGGGGTGGGGGGGGTTCAACCTTAAAGACTCCACTAAATGAGTTTAATTCAATATCACCACATTTTGGGATTTGAACCGAAGCCAATAGCTCTGTGGCCCAGCATATTATGGTACAAACTGAGCTAAGAGAGCCCCTATAATCTGCTGAGAATAACTGTAAAAAGTAAGCACAAAGAACAATTTTTAAAATATACATCAACTTTTTTAGGCAAACACTACTGCCTGCGTAACTGTCACTTAAGCATATCAAAAGACTTGTTCGCTGCATTTTTGTCCTTTTTCCCATAACAGTTAGATAGAGAACTCTCTTCTAATTGCTTCAGTTCTTGTAAACGACTAAAGTTGAAAGAAAAAAACTTGGAAACATTACCCAACGGGTCCATTAGCATTGTACTAGGCCGCCTGTATATATTTCAACTTCTATATAATTTGACAAATCATATACACAAATATGCTTAACTTGATGAGGATGATTTTGGTTCATAATAATAATAGTAATAATAAAAATAATGATGATAATGATTTAAAAAATAAAAATAATAAACATTCTAACAATAATAATAATAGTGACAATAATGATAATATCAATAATAATGATAATTTTAATATTAAAAACATTAATAATGGGATTTTATATCGTGTGTAATCCCTAACAAGCTCTAAGTGATGTACAAAGCAGTTATCAGTCAACATCATTTTCAATACTTGAATTTTGAAGAAAAAAATAAAAGACAGAAACTCAGAATAATGAAAACATAACATTGCTTGTGTACGACAAAAAAGAAACGTAAATGATTTCTCCTCAATCATTTGAGAAAAGCGCAAAGAACATACGGTGAGCACAGAGAACTCCGAGGGCCATGATGGCATGTCGACGTACGGTCCGGTCTTCTCCCGCAATCAGATTCAGGAGGGGGTCCACAGCCTCCAAATCCAGCAACAGCTTCTTGTTCTCGTCACCTGATAATTAATGTCAACATAATTTAGGGCTCGTCCCTTTCAGAAAGTGCAAAAACATTGTCACATCAGTGGCCAAACCTACTGACACTACAATATAAGTTATACGGGCCCACAGATGAACTGAGCAGGACGGCTCAATATATGATACCGGACTTCAAGTGTGATGCGATCGAGAAGAAGAAAAGAAGAAGTGTTGATGATGAAAGTGAGTGGGGAAGAAATAGTACCATAAACAAATCTTCCTGTATGACTGAATGAACTTTTTAGATCTACGAAAGTCTGTGCTGTATATGACATAGGAAATGGCTACATCTGACAGAAAAGCCTACTGCAGCAAGAAGATAGAGAACAATTGGTATGCAGAAATCTTTCTAATAGTAATCCACTCCTTTATCATCCAAACCCTTTGTTATAAATTACTTTTGTACTCATGCTCTTTCTATTCTACTCTTTTAACTCCTATCTGTTGTCTCATACACTCTACGCTCTTTTTTGCCTACATTCCTATAGCATCTGTATGTGGTCTTAAATACTCTATCAGCACTCATGATCTGTTTCATACATTTCTTTAGCACCCATGCACATCTATTTGAGTTTTGAACATTGAGCTGTCTTTCCTTTTCGTATTGAGTTTAACTAGTGATTACTTTGTAAGAAAAGTGTGAAGTTCACATTCTCATTTTCAGAGATTCAATGTTCAGCGTTACAGCACAACAAGAGGGTCCACAAATTCTTAAACAAGCTCACATTTCTCCACAAACTTGTAGATGGCCTCGCAGGCTTTAGACTGTACGTCCTCCTCTGGACTGGTCAGCATGAGGACCACCGTAGCCGCCTGTCTGCTCTCCACCAACAGAGTGTCAAACTGCACAGACAGACAAACAATAGAAACAAACAAGAGAAATAAACAAGAGAAAAAAAAAAGAAATAAACAATAGCAATAAACTATGGAAATAAACAACAAAAATAAACAACAGAACTCTCTTCAAAATCAAGATACAATGAGAGTGAGATGGATGTAGTCACTGCTATTGATCGATAAAGTAACCACTAAGCATCAACTGATCTGTTAACTATAAGACAAAAGACATCCCTCTCAATTCGACATGTTTAATATACCATCATTTGATGCAACATTCCCAAGACCAGCATGTTGTCTCACTTTGTGTATGGTCTGTCAGAATACAGACTTGCACACTCAAACGAATGGTCCAGATTAAGTAACTCATACAGCTGTGAACCAACTTGACCTCTGAGGTAAAAAGAAACCTTGCTCAGCCCTTCTGCCAGCAGTCTGTCATTGATCCAGCTGACAAAAGGCTCTTCAAAGGTGGACAACAGATGTATGTACAAAGAAAACAGCTTTGGTTACCTTGTGATTAAAGACGTATAAAAATTACTCTTACAGAAAGGCTCACTGATTGTGCATGGTAGACGCATAACACCCTGGCCTTTTTTGGGGTATGCGTACATTTGTTAATCAAAAGGAAAATGTGACCAAATATGTCAAACATACCACATCATCGGGAGGAGGCTTTTCATCCTTCTTCACTTTCTTTCCCATTGTGAAAGCCTGAAATAATAGAATAAGAATATAAATAACAATATCACAACAGAAGAACAGAGAAGAGAACTTTTTCCACAAGCACATAAACATATCCATAAATGGATGTAAAAATATTTAAAATAATAACACAAACATAAGAACTCAGAAGGCTATTCTAACAAGTTAATTGGCCATCCTGAATGAATCATCACCTCAGTCAGAGTACAGAACTTGACATTTGATTACTAACATTCTTTTAAACAATAAAAAAAAAGTCTTTAAAAAAAGAGTCATGAAATTACACTCCCTCCATTGAATCTGTCAATGTTATCTTGATATTATCATTAGCAAAATGAAATGTTGTAACATTCTCATAGAATGTAGAATCTGGAAATATTTTTGTTGAAATCATATGATGTTTTTTCAAGTTCCTCAAAATATATTATGGCCATCTGAAGTGAAAAAACAATCTTAACTCATTCGCTACGCCGAGCCGTGGGGGGCGGCGCGGCTAAAGTGCCGTCAGTACGCTAAGCCGCCCCCGGCGGCTCGAAAACCGATCTTCAATTATAGCTTAGATTCTATTCCAATCCACATATCCATGTTAAAATAAAGGTCATAATATAATGTTGACTTCCGGGTCAAGCATTTCCACTCACAATCGGAAGTTTAGATTCAGTTTTGAAACTTGATTTCGTAGTTTATTCGACTTTGTTTTATCGCGATGCCAAAATTATAGTCCGGACACCAGTCTTAGTGATTTTACACAACAAAATCTATCATTATTTTGCCCACTAAAGAAGTGTAGGACTCTTTTTTATAATATTGATACGATTGGACTCAATTGCCAATGCACTGTTATTGAGAAATCAATATTTTTGAGTGCCAGATCTAGGTCTAGATCTAAATTGTCAAAATATGTTTTTCTCCCAAAAATCACTACTTTTTGATGAAATTACACAAAAAGTGCCACTCAAGACATGTACAGGTTTATTCCAAACGCAATTCTGAATAATTCCATATAAGATACGAGTGGGGTTTTTTCTGTTTGTGATCGTTTTTCAAGATTATTTTTAAAAATTTATTTTTTTCAATATCGGATGTTATGATCCAAATGTACAAATATTATGGAATGTATGTGAATTTGTGCTAACTTTTCAATATTTTCCAGTTTTATATTCATTTATGGTTATTTTGATGTATCATTTGACTAGGTGCAAGCATATTTTTTGAGTTTCACCAAAGATTATAAAGTTTTTATTTTCAAATTTTATCCGTATCCAATCAAAATTGTGTTGCATAATCGCCTTTTACAGAAACCAAATTTGAAAAATACATAAATAAACATTACAAATGTATTCTACAATCCATACTGAAAATATTGGTATATAATATGTTGATATTTTTTTTAATTTGTGGCCCCAAAGACCTTTTAACTGCCCCCTATTCATCATCTCATTCGCCCTCCCGGAAAAAATTCGTCCCTTATTTATATCGGAGTGATTATTCGGACTCGAGTCCGAATATGAAAAAATGTTATTCGGACTCTGATTCTTGTCCAGCATGACATCACTTCTGACTTCCTGTGACTCGTGAATCCGGCTTCCTGTCCTGCCTCACTTGTGACTCGCCTCAGGCTGGGTAGAGACCGGGATCACTTCGGGCAAAAAGGCGTTTTGTGAAGGAGCCGAGTTTTAAACTTATGATGAATTTGAGGCCGGCCTGAAAAGTTAGAGCACTTCTAATAAATGTTTATTTGTCAAGAGGTCATCAGAAGCAATTAAAGATGGCTCGTTAGCGTATGTCGGGGTCGGATGGGCGGCCTGCACACGTCTGGCTGTGAGCGTGTCGGGGAGGGTGGTGGGAGGGGGGGGGGGGCACTATCGGTCCGGGCTTTGAACGTCGCATACGCATTAGTCTTTTTCCCCCCGGCAACTGATCATTATTACAATAATAAGCTAGTCTTGACGTAGATCTACGTAATGAATTGTACGCTGGTTTATGGAATCAAAAGTTGCCGTATGCTCAGCTCTACACAGCAACACAATTTTTCTTCGTTAACAATCGATATAAATAAATAAATAAATAAATAAATAAATAGCATTTGTATAGCGCATATCCCCGCTCAAAAGCAGGCTCTATATGACACAGGCTTGTGTATTTGAACGAATCTGTCTTTTTTTTTTACACAGCTCATAATATGCAGGTGCCAGGTGGTCTGCTAATCTTCAATTTTACCTTTTTCTACAACAAAGAAAGTGGGAAACGTGGAGGGGGGGGGGGGGGCGTATCAATGAGGCGGCGGGCATTGGATCAGCAGATAAGGTGTGGGGGAAACTAAAAAATGGCGGAAAATTGGAAGCACTGAACGTTAGATCTATAGAACGAAGACACTTCCTTTTTTCCGGACCCTAGTCCGAATAACATTTTTTCATATTCGGACTCGAGTCCAAATAAGAAATTTTTTTATTCGGACTCGAGTCCGAATAACGACGCCTAGATCTATATTAAAAAGGGTTTCTTGATCGAATTAATTTGAGGACCACAGTAGGGATTTGGACAGTAGGATAAGAAAATATTTATGCCAAAACTACGATACTAGGCCAGTTCAAGCTGACCATGCAGACCCCATCAGCAATGAACTCTGGCAGTAAACACACCATCGATCCATAAAAGAAGTAATCCTAAAAAAACAGTAGAGACGGATTGGTCACACGCTCCGCCAAAAGTCAACACCAATCAAGCATTACAAGGCAAATCCTAAGCTTGAATCTCTATATAGGCCTAGGCCTACCCAAAAATTCATGGCATCAAGAGGTGGAATTAATGAATTATTATAATAGGAGCTTGGCTCTAATTACGTGGGAACTGCTGGAGAAGCCCAAGATAGGGATGCAGGGTGAACTCTTATTTTGGTGGCCTTTTTCCCAGACGATACTGTAACGAAAGTGGCTATTCTCACCCGCCCGGAAGTTCTCGCAAGATCAACTCCTCCCCTCTTCTCTCTCTCTCCGTCTCTTTCTGAATACTGTCTATCGGTGTGGACGATCAAATTGACCAAAACAAAGTTAAAAAATGATGTTAAAACACAAAAGTAAATAAATTTGGTTGTCTACAAAGATGCTACGGCTATTTAACTTTTCGAATCGAGCCGAACTACGCGGGTCGCCATTTTGTTTTGCCAGGAAATTCTCACGCTACTCCTCTCTCTCTTTCTCTCTCTCTCTCCACTGCCCACAGACAAAATTGTACGCTTTTAGTAGGCTACAATTGTAATGGAACGTTTGTTCACTGCACAGAATTCTACAATTTTTCTGTTATCACAGTGTAGAATTCTGTGGTTTAGGGTGAACGCAAAATTTGGTGAACACGCACCGGGTGAGAATAGCTACAAGACTCGCCTGCACTATTCTCACTCCGGGTGAGAATAGAGGTGGCCTACTGTAACACTAACAGTAGGACTGTTACTGAACAGACCACAGGGTCACAGTCACAGTAGGAAAAATAAGGAATCAAATTCAAATCTAAATCAAAGCAATGCGGGTAAAGAATGATAAAAGAGGGAAAGTAGATAGATGTACAGATCTAGAATCTAGATGTAGATATCCCTTTAGAGAGTAGCACAGCCTGTGTAGATCTAGTGTTTGTAAAGTTCGGTTTGTAAAAGCCAGTTCTGAGTTATAATTAACCAGAATCCCTCAACTGATCTCACAGTGATTTTTTTTCTAAATCTAGATTCTAGATCTAGATCTACTAGATATCTAGATCTAGATTTTCTAGATCTACACCTCACATTAACGACTCCAGAAGTTGAAGTCACTCTGATCTCTCGGAATCGGATTCTCTCTAGATCTAGAACTAGATCTAGATCTAGATCTAGATCTAGATTATTAGATCTAGTCTCCTCACAACTCCTCTGCCACGAACGTTAGCAGAACCTGTATCAACTGCTGCATAACAATGAAGATTGAAATGCATGTAATAAGACTATTTCAGAAAGAAAGCAAAAAGAAATGTAAGGCAATAATCACAGTATAACAAAAACATCACCTTTATTTCCTCCCAATCCCTTTGAAAGCAGCTTTTCGGAGTTGCCGGAAGTTGACAACCGTTGCTATACGACAATTGTAAAAGCCAACACACCTGAACTCAACGAGATAACAAATATGATTAAAATAATAGATTTGCAATAATATTACTAGCTAGATTGTCCAAGTACGAAACTCATTATCTGAATCATGGAACAAGTACTCTGATCATATTTTATGATTTTGTTAATAGAAAAAGAATTTTTTAAATTGTTCCATCAAAATATTAACGGGAACTAGAAAACCCCTGATCTATTTATAGGCCTAGTCTCGAGAAACGATCGTGCTGCAATGTTCGAGGGGAAATACGAAAGTTGTAAAACCATTCGGCCTACTGTTCTGCTAACTCTAGGAACATACATTTTTGAAATATTTGTTAACCTTGCTCTAATGTTAAGAGCTTCTTTTTGTGTCTCCTCATTTCATTACATTTATCCTCATAATTTGCATCCTCTGCAGGCTATTAGGCCTGTAACGAGGCCTACAGACACAATCATATTTGGTCTACACTGTCTACAGTTTAAATAATGTTGCTGTTAAGGCTAACAAAAATGCTTCCATTGTTAGAGACCGGGGTCATGCTACTGCTTATGGGTTGCTGGCTTTTTTTAAAGGGCGGTGGGGTTCTGGTTTGTAGGCTATGTCTGTGGGGTTTTATTAGGGGGGTGGGGTGTTTGTTTGTTGTTGTTTTTTGTTTAGTTTTTTCGGTGTGTATTCTTTTCTTTTTCTTTTACATCCGCTGCTGATCCTACTTGTGTTAATTGTTGTGTCTTCTGTTCTCACAGCTGCATAGATTGACCAGTCGTGAGAGTTGGGGGGGGGCACCAGCTGATGTCGGTGGTCAGCTGGGAAGGGAAACGTTAGATACGACAGTCATCCAAAGAGAGGTCATTGTAGCCGCCAGCCATATCTCATCTCCGCGGAGAAATTATCAGGGCGCACAGTGTGGAAACACTGAGCTTATATGCAGTTGCTAGCGACGTAAAATAAATATCAAACCGAAACTTATATCAAAACACTAGCAGGCTCTCGTCAATTTTTGGGCATTTAGAGTTATTGGTATAATTTTACAGCTTGTTCAATTTTCTTTATTTGGATGAAAAAAATATCCGTTTATCTTAAATACAAGTCGGGATATTTGAGAATGAAGGATGTGGGGGTCACCTGTTTTCAGGGGTAAAATTAGTGAGAAAATGGCCGCGAAATATTAGTTATTTCCTTAGCTTAAGAGTTCGTGGTAACTGAAAATTTATATCTTTTGTGTCTTTAATCAACGGTTTTCAGAAAAATCCACACAGAAATGAGTTCTTTCATGGGCATGAAAGGTGTTGAGCCCCAAAACAAAAGTTTCATAAAAATCCACAAACCTGCGAAAAAAATGCAAATTTCTTCACTTTTATTATTTTAACGAGTGCCTGATTCCACCACGCTGCCTCAGTAATGTAAAATGAGCCTTGCGCTAATTACGTGATCTAAACACGACGATACACTCGTCTGAATCAAGGGGAATAACTACTGCTTTTACCCACATTTTGTTTAGTCAATTTCTTTCCATTTTTTGTTGTGCTTCGTCAACGGGAAATATTTTAGTGTCCCTAATCTGTTGCTTGTTTCTAATCTAGACTTTATTACGACGTATTTGCTTCCTTCTGTTTCTAAATTTAGATAGATAGATAGATAGATAGATAGATAGATAGATAGATAGATAGATAGATAGATAGATAGATAGATAGATGAACACTTAGATAGATAGATAGATAGATAGATAGATAGATAGATAGATAGATAGATAGATAGATAGATAGATAGATAGATAGATAGATTGATAGATAGATAGATAGATAGATAGATTGATAGATGAACACTTAGATAGATAGATAGATAGATAGATAGATAGATAGATAGATAGATAGATAGATAGATAGATAGATTGATTGATTGATGAACACTTAGATAGATAGATAGATAAATTGATTGATTGATTGATTGATAGATTGATTGATAGATGAACATTTAGATAGATAGATAGATAGATAGATAGATAGATAGATAGATAGATAGATAGATAGATAGATT